TCTGCATCCCCACCAGTGGAAAACAATTCCTGATGGTTCAGATGTAAGGTCAGAAACTCAATGAAGTGGAAGTGTGGGGGAGGGACATTAGCCTAAAGCTTCAGCTAATTGACAGCCAATAGAAAAATGCAAGAGCTTATTCCTCTACCATACATTGGAAAATTCGTGTAAGAAACCATATATACATACTACTAACATATATACATACTACTAACACCAGTTTTTCCATGGGATGTGAAATTATGATCCATGTCATCTGATCAGCAAGACCACTGAAGAAATCAACATAACATAATTCCTACTATGGAGGACAGGTTTCTGGGCGACCTTGATTTCTCCTATTCGCAAGACTAGGATCCTCCAACCCCTGAATGCCAAGAGCAGTATATATAATAAACCACTATTATGCATACAAAAACATACAGACATACAGACACACACACACACACGCAGACACACACATACACACAGGAGAGGGGCTATGCTATCATTTAAAATAAATACATGTCATTTTAAAGAAACATGAAATACTTAGCTAATTTTTATAGTAAGAACCATTAGTTCTAATCAAATGCTAGATTCACCAAAATAACCAACAAGTGTCCCAAACAGGTACCTCTTATTAGGTGTCTCAGGAAGATAGCCCGTTGATATATTGAAATAAGAAATTACTTACCAAAGGTAACCTTCTGCTTGCTCTCAGACAGCACTGCTACCCCCTTCACAAAGCCAGAGGATGCCCATTAAAATGCCACATGGCCAGCACCTCAGTTGCTTTATAAAATTGTACTGTCGTGGTTTTGACCACAACTTATGGCACATTCTTTACTTGCTATGGTTCCTGTCTAAACTGAACCACTAAGAACTATATTCTAAAACCAATAAAAAATTCAATTACATTTTGGGATAAATTCCAGTGATATCTTTAATACTATGTTGCCCATTTAAGAAGTGTAGTAGAAATCTCTATGAAAGATGCTCCCAATTCAGATACTTTTCTGGCTGACATTACCAGCAGCCGAAAAAACCAGTGTGATGGATGGGAAAAGTTAAAAATATTTCACTCTGTGGTTCCAACATTTCAGAAGGGCAATTGCAGGGAACGAGATTTAAGCTTTAATTAGGAAACGTATATATCATCAGGTTGCTCCTTCCCTGTGATCAGGGAATTTTTTTTAATGTGCATGAGTTGAATTACAGAGATCAATAAAAAAACAAGTTTGACAACCCTAGGGCTCCAGAAGCTTTGAGGAATTCAGCGATTAAAAAGATTATCTCCATAAACCCAGCACCACACCAAATACTTACTCTATGGCTAGAGGTAAAAACTAGATGGGGGGGGAATCCTTACTTAAACAGTATTAATTGGGCATGTAACACCTTACACTAAAGAAAAAAGTGTACTTCATGAAAAGTTTGTTAATTATGCAGTCATTAGTTTGTTTTGAGCAGTAAATATTTTATACTTGAGATGATTAAACATTAGCCAAGAGGCATAGTACTTTAGGTGTAAAAGCGGGCCAGAAATGACGAAAAGGGTGAAGAGGACAAGTGGGAGAGAATATGATATCTCTTTGCTTGATGAACCATAGGAGAGGGTAGAGTATGGTGGTGGTAGAGGTGGTTGTGGTAATGGGATGTGTGTGTGTGTGTGTGTGTGTGTGTGTGTGTGTGTGTGTTCATTTAAACTTGAGAAACCATCACGACAAATAATTCCAGACTAAGTTGTGATTATGAAGCTCCCATCTCTGCTGAAGGTGTAAATGAACTGGCCTGGAAGGCAGGGGGAGGCCAATCCTCTCAGGTTTCCTGAGGGGGGGGCTCATTGTCTCACAAGAGCTTCCTAACCATGCATTTGGACAGCCAGGCTTCCAATCCATTTCCTCCTTTCATGCTCTTATGTGGCACGTGGAGCTCTAAGTGGGACAGCCTGCAGGTTCCATGCTAACAGCTTTGTTGTAGGGATCCCTAAAGCAGAGGCCTATAAATAGGACCAGCTACATTCACTCAAGTTGCACACATTGACCCAAATAAGAATGATGTGTATGATTTACAAATTTGTACAATACACTTCAAGCTGCTTGGACAGTGCCAGGGCCTGAGCTGCTCAGGGCTGCTTGAAAGTTACGTTAATGCTTCTATTTGCAGTCCTCCTACATGACAGTAACAATACTTGCAAAAGTCCAGACTAAGTACAACCAGAAGTAAATGCCTTTGGCTACCATGCAGATACAGAAATCAGGTGTCCCAATAAACATACCCTAAAACCACGTGTTAGAAAAAAAAACACCCATCCAATAGAAAAGAAAAAAATGGACAAATGAAATGAATAGCCCAAACAGAGCATTCATAACAAACTTCCAGTACACATTAGAGTTGACAGGTCCTCTCTAGCAATCAGGTAAACACCCATGATATTACTATTCCCCAGTAATCTGACTTCAAGAAAAGATTTCTCCTAAAAGAATAATGAACACATCCATGTATGGGCCTATATAGAAGTCTGGACATTGGAGGAGAGGGTAGAGGAACACAAACTGTAAACTATGGAAGGGTGTGTCGTGGGGAAGGAAACAGTGATGTTCTAGCTCATCTGAGAGTGTGTGGCTGCAGGAATGGGTCCTGGTGTGGGATTCCTGTGAAAATGATTTATTGGGAAGTGCCTCTGGGAAAACCATATAAGAAAGTAAGAGAATCAGAGAAGGGAGAGTGGTCCACAGAATTCACAGTGGGCAACTGAGATGCACTTAGTCAGATTGCATGTTGTTCCCTAAAGGTCCTTGCACATGTCAGTCCTCCATTGCAAGCTGCCTGAGAGATTGTAGAGCATGTTTCAGCAGCTGGACCATAGGGATCTTCAGGGGAAGCAGGTCCCAGCTGACAGGACTAAGCACACCAAAGACATGGAAATAAATGGTGGAAATATGTGTTTGCACCAGTGTTCAATAGTGTATTGTGCACTAATGGAAGTCTGAACCAGGAGATCATTGCCTGTCACTTGGACTGTGAAAACTAAGTGTTGGGGCAAGCACATTTGAATTATTGTTTGTATAAGACCTTCAACTTGGGAGTGGGCGTAAGTGGGGGAGTCTTCTTTATTTCTACAAGCCTGTACCAATTTATCAACTTATGTCCTTGCTATATTTACAAAGGTGTAACATATTTATATATGGCTGCATAGGGTGCTAGACAAGGAAGCAATAATGACACAGTGAACAGAGACACTAGGTTGCTTTGCTCTTTGTGCTACCTTTTTACTTTTGCAGACCTATGCATGCATGGCATTCATAAATTAAGGAATATAAAATACAGAAAAAATTAATTGGGCCTTACCAAAAATTAACTTCACAAGCTCTCGTTCTTATATTGGAAAGGCTTGAAGTAAAATGGTCCCCCGAGTTAACAGAGTTTTCCTTTTAAGCTGTGACCTGGAAAATGCTCATGGGATGAATTTCTCTATTTTTAAGCTAAAAACCAACAAGTATGCACACTGATCCTGGGCAATGTAGGAATAACACAGCAAGAGATGGAAACGTGTATGTTAAGCCATTGCAAAGATTACATGTAAAATGCAAACATCTCCATTTCTTATAAAACTGGAAGCCATCAATAGTGGTAGGATGAGTAGATGGATTAAAATGTGCCAAAGATAATTATGTACTACACAGGCATTAAATAATGGTTTTGAAAATTTTATTGAATTAAAATAGACGCAAGATATAATGTCAGGTTTCAAAATGAAATGTGTAGTCCTATATAAATACGTGGCTTTTATTGCACAAAGTTTAATACAGCATGTATATATTCCTGTGTATACATACACTAACATGTTCAGAAAATTCATTGATCTGGCAGAATGGATAAGTGGATATTATTAGTTGTTGAGGTTAGGTTATAGGCCTATGGTTTATTTCAACATACTTTTCTTTTTATTTTCTGCATTCTTTTACTAACTAACAATATTATCCTTTAGCATTTTTAGGAGGTAACCCCATATAATGACAAAGCAATATACCCTGGGGGACACTGGCTCTTTTTTTCTTAAAAAGTGTCACAGATTAATATTGGAAAACAATACTTAACTTTTCTCCTATTGAGCTGACTGAAATGAATTTCCTAAAAAGTATCTGTTGTTTCGTCACTATATTTTAGCAAAAATCACATGAAAAGGTGACAGAATGTCTAGGATTTGAGTGGACATTGTCAGGGTTTCTAAGTTGTTTCCACGAATATATTTGATGGGAGACCCAAAGCTGCAGACCCTTTGGGGGTGATAAGGCTAGTTAAAGATCAAAGATCTGTATTTGCATTCTCCAGGCTATGTCCCGTCACAATTATCTTAAAGACTCAGCAGCTAAAGTGAAAACAAGCTTTCACTGTCACTGATGACATCTATAGACATCAAAATAAGAAAGAATTATTTTATGAAAAAATAGACATCTCAGATACTGGAGTTATAATTTCAGGAGAGCACACATTATTTGTAGCAAGATTATCTCCTCTTCTCTACCACTGGAAATGGAGAGAGTAAAGTAAAAATAAAGAGTCTAAGGTGGTGATACAGTCTTTGCTTTGCCCATCATTATGGCTTGAACTTAGCTGAGCCTCTAAAGGCAGTTCTGATGGACAAACTAATGATATGCAAGAATTTGGTACCCAGGTGGTGGGACAGGCAAGCTGATCTCCTCTCCATTTCTGACACTGCCTATCCTTCAGAGGCTATTCTTAGCATCCCAGGAATCCCCTATACAGTGCAGGCAGGAAGAGTGAAAGACAGAGGAGAGGAAGGCCCTTGTAGATTTCCTTGGAAACAACGAGGTAGAGAAGGGACACAGATTTCTAAAAGATTACAAATTATTAAAAAGCCCTTCTTCAGCCTTTGGTTTTGTTAAAAAAAAAAAAGTCCCTTGATTTATTTCCTCTTAATGACTTGCTTTGCAGACATTTTTGTTGACCTTTGGAATTTATTTATTTATTCATTCATTCATTTATGTATTCAGTCATTCATTTATTTATGCTGACTCGGTATTCCAGAGATCTTACGGAAAGAGCTGCAAGGAAAAGTCAGTTCAAAGGTGAGCTCTAGGTAAGTGACACAGTTAGACTGAGTTCTTTTTATTTCGGCTTGAAGCACATCTGACAGGCTTTCTTCCCCAGTTTCTCCTGCATAAACTCCAGTGCACAACTAAGGAAACACTTCTCTTTGCCAATCAACCATGGTAAATTCTTCAAACCTGGCATACTACAATACTGAGAATGCACACACTGCAAACACAAAGGCCATTAAGAAAGTAAAACATTGTACTTTGTTTCATCACTAACAAACACACTCCTATCAAAATGATAAACCCCACACATAGTCACTTGGTAAGCACATTATCCATAATGATGTCTGAAAAGTAATCTAGATCTAGAAGTACTTTAAAGTTTATGGAAAGCATCTTTTGCTAGCTTTCTTTTTACCCCCCCCACCCATGTAAAATAAAAACAAGTTACTTAACATTGCCACAGATAAATGACCTTTCTGTCTATACTGTAAAATGTGGCTTTACTGAAGGATAATGAATGATTAGCTTAAAGCCAACATGGTAAGGTTTAAATTAAAATTAAACATTGCATTTATAAGAGATCAGGACTGAAAACTATACCTGTCTTTTGTCAAATAATGCAGTTCTGTATTTCTTCTTATGATACAGAAATAAGCACATTCTCCATCAGTAAAAATGGAAATCAAATGTTTTCTTGAGGAAAACTTGAGTGACAAAGCTTTAAATTATCTTCCAATACATCAAACTTGATCTATTGTGATGGAAAAGTGCAGTGCCGTGAATTACCCATTATGTTGGAAAATCCAGAAGTTGTTTTAATTGGTTTTGAATGAAGGCATTATTCTGCATTTCTAATCATGTTTCCAGCCCTAAGGCTAATATTAAAAATGAATTACAATTCCTGAGCAAAGGAACTGACTCAGAATCATGGTTGGGATTAACACTGTGTTCCAGATAATCTGCAAATGAGAGGACCCAAAAGTTGAGTGTATTTATAAGGAGGTAAAATGCTCATTAGACACACTCCATGTGAATAATGAACCATCTGATAGCGAACATGTGTGTGTGAAGCGTTTTGCATTCATCTGAACAAGGAGTTTTTCTCCCAAGATCATCAACATAAGTATTCAATAGTCACTCAATTTTACTGTTTCCAGAAATGAGACATATGCAGATTTATCATCTGTTTTTTCCCTGGAATTACACACACCTCTAAGCTGCTGTTACAATTTTAAGATATAAAATTTAAATCTCTGCTTTACCAATGGGTGGCATGTGGTGATTGTCAACGACACATACACTGAGAGTTGAAAGTAAAGCCTGATCTCCTGGTCACAATAAATTAAGCTAATGCTACAAGACAGAAGCTTGTCATTTGTGCTATGAAGTGGTTTCTACAAAAACTTCAAATATTAATGAGGAAATACAAACTGACCTATTCACTGACAATTAAGCAACTCTGACTGGAGTACCAGGAATCATTTGCATAATGGAAATGCCCTTCCCCCAGTTATTCAAATTATAGTTTGAAAGGGAAAGAACACTCAAGAAGAGGTTTTTATTGGTAGGAACGTTTTAATGAGGTGATGGGTATCTTAATAAGTGTTCTTGGGTGAAGACACCTGGATTATTAAGCAGCAATTCTGCTGTGTCCTATATTAATTCACGGCAAGATTTTATCATGTCTGTTTAATTTATTAGCGACTTGAAGGACTTGGTATCACTTGCATGGTTTAAAGTAAACCAATTTAAACAAAAGATGAAATAAATGGTACGGTTTGAAGATTGGAGTTTTTCAGGTATTTTTCTTTTAGCTTAACAATAATTCAGCAGGAGTACAAATCAGAAAAATCTTCATGAAATTAACTTCAAAGCAGATTTCAAATGAGTCCTAGAGGGTTTATTGTGGGGAAGGGGGCCACCAAACAAAAGGAATTTTAAACATATCCATTGTACTAAACTATATTTTATGTACAGGGATATTAAATGGGTGAGACAAAACATTTCTGTTTACCTCTAGGTAAACATGAAAGCCAGTCCTCCTTGAAATAATAAGACATTTTTATTGCTGATAACTAAGAAATTTTGAATGCTTTAAACATATCTTGCTCCAGAATGACTGAATGTAGTAATGTCTGTATATATATTCAGGATAAAATTTTGAGCACAGTGCTAATTTTCTACCTCAAAATAAAAAATAAACATTTCATTTAACACCACATGATTTGTTTTCTTTAGATAAGTGTAAGTTTTATAGATTATTTTTTGTCCAAGTTTCTTCCCTTCCTCAGACCCAAACTTCATTCTTTATGGGGTTAAACTAAGTGTTCTCCTAAGTGATTTAGATTTCTGAAATGGCTATGTTTCTCCAGTGATACTTTTCTAAAAAATACCATTTTTACTAGTTCTTCTTCGCATGAACTAGAGACTGTCCAAAAATATCCCTTGTCATTTTACTGTTACAAGAAGGGTAGAATGTTATTGTGAATAATAGAATCAATTTAGTATAAGTGCAAAAAGAATTTTATATGATATGAATTAAATCAGCTCAACCAAGTAACTCTTTCTGTAAGTGACTCCCTGAATACATAAAGGCAGGAGCCGGAAAAAGCAACATAAAACCAGCATTTGGAGACTCTGAAGAGATCTGTCTATATAAAATAAAGGGCAATTGACATCCAGCTATCCACAAGCTTGTCCTATGTGCTTTCCGTATGAAACAGTATTCATCACTGATGTGATGATATTATTTCTTTGATCCAATGGAGTGTTCTCATGCTAACACAGAAAGTGAAAGCAGTATCCACAATGTATTGTGACAGGAAGCATTCTGCAGCTAGCCTCAAAAAAGCCTAAAATTTGATTATTTCTCCTGGTCAAAGATTATACAAAAGTAAAGAACTGTTAACTGAGTCTGTCCTGGATAATAGTTTTTACACACAATGGGGTCTAGTGGCAGAAGCTCATAGCAGCCATCAAAGCTCCTTCAGGACCATAGGTCATGTCCCTCCTGGTACACAAGCCAAGATCAGTGTCCATAAAAGTGAGGATAAGAACATGATATATGAATGCCTTGAGAGTCTTTTTTTTTCTTTTTCATCAGAGCTAAGAAGATGAGAGTAACTTTCAGCATTAAGACATAATTCTTTCCCTTTATCCAACAACAGTAATTTTAATCAAGGCTAACACACAAAGACAGGGAAGTCAAATTCTTTCAGTTGAAAACTTAACAGTTATAACATTAAGACTTGAGGGTCTCTCATCAAATTAGGGCTGTTTAGAAATATGCTATTTCTAGATTGGTGGAGAGTTTGGAGACAGGTTTTATAATACCTTATATTTCAATGTCTAAACTTCTACAAAACAAAAAAATTCAGTCTATCTGTCAATAATTAATTAGCTCACAAATAAGGCAACCTACTGACTAAAAGAACATACTATTAAGTACCAGAAAAAAATAAAAATTATGGGAGACTGTTTAAAATACATATCTGCTCCCAAACAAAACAAAACAAAAACAAAAATCACAGTACTTGCTTTTCTTCAAGAGTCTCATGATCAGAGAAATTTTATCTGAATGAATTCCAAAATTGTTTCAAACCATCTAATTAAATTTTGGAGGCAAATATTTGTCACTAGTAGACTAGTAAATCAAAAATAGCAATTTCTACCGGACAATTGGAGATTTCACTATTTGTTTTATTCTTCAAATTAAGCTCTGTATTAGCTACTGGGATAAGATTGTATGAGAAAGCATTGCTTTAGAGTTTTCAGAAACGTTCACTTCTCTGTATTGCTTGGTTCCTCACTAAAACTTCAAATCAGAACAATTTTGATATTCTCCAAAAGCAATACTCTATTGAGATCCAAACATCTATTATTTTCTTCACACAGAATATTTCACCGATTACAGTCTTGTCAAGTTTTTCTTTCAGCAACAAACACACAGGAAAATGTCAAAATTATAGAAGGGTATTGCATTGCAAGGGTCTAGCCACAGATTTCTCTTAAAAACAACCTCAATTTTAAATTCTAATGTGTGGTTTATAACATAAAGCTTCTGGCAAATAATATGACTGAGAGAGCAAATAAAATTAGAATTTCTGAGCATTAATTATGTGAGAGGGAGAATCCTAACAAAAAATATAATATATATATATATACATATATATATATATTTGGCAAAATAGTTTCTCTGGTAACCTGCCTAATTTATATATCATCTTCACCCAAATGGTGTATCCTCCTTGTTACCATGTTCTGAATGGATTAATCCAAACCAGCTGCACCTTCTAGAGACCAGGTCTTGTTAAAATGTAACTAAAATGTCCTAACTGTGAAATCATGCATGTGCATCTGCAGACTCTAACACCAGTGTGATAGCCTGTTTTACTAAAACTTTTCTCTGTCCCATTGTGAGGGTAGTGAGGAGGCATCACTCTCCTCACTACCATCCCACACTTTCTTAATTTAAGCCTACACTGTAAGTGACAATAGTGCTCCATCTTCTACCCCCTTCCCTGATCTTTCTTTTCTTCTTCCAAGTCAGTTAAGAATTTTGTCCCCATTGTAAATAGGCTTTGTATACACCTCACCCTTAAACTCCACACTCACAACTGGACTTCCCACCCTTATGTTTCACCCTTGTTTTACCCTGCCAAAGTCTGTCTGTCATCTACCCCAAGTACCTTACAACTTCTTGTATTGCTTCTATTCCTTCCTGCTTCCTCCCCCTGAAAGTGATGACTTCCCAATCCTATGTCAGTATTCTAGCTTTCAAAACTTACATCAAGATGCTCACCCCCTATTTGCATATGTACAATGAATGGTCTTGCACTTCCAACTCTCTGCCTCTACCACTCATCTTTTATAATTCTGCCCACAGACTACGCAACTACAATGGATATTCTCCATGTGTAGGTGTGTTCTGACCTTGCTCTCACACAGCTATTCCTTCTCTGTAAGTAGAATCCTTATTTGTTCAATACTCATGCTACAAACATAGAGGTCATGCTTGCTTTCTACCCAGTACATCCAA